TTGGTGGAATTTCTTCTGCTTTAATGTTTCTTTACGGAGTTTTTAAAAGCATAATTCTTGATTTAAATTGAAGTTTAATTAATAAATATATATGTATGTACTTACTTAGTTACTATTTTTTTCTTAAAATAGGATATTGTTGCAATAAATGGTAGTATATTATACAAAGAATTTATAATTTACTTTTTCAGAATTAATTATTCATTAAGTTAATTAAACTTAATCACCTATACTAATATAATATTGGCACATTTCCATTTTCATGATTCATAGGTCTAAACGTGTATAAAATGATATCAGATTCATTATTTTAATATTCCTTTATCGCTTGTTAAATTTAATGCTCTAGACTTTACATTTCACATTATGCATACATATATATAGAGATAGACAAAAAGATAATATAAAAAACCAGAAATTATAATTCTTGTAATTGTAAAAATGCAATTTTTCCCAGTATTGATGCGTGTTATTAAAATGTGTAACGTAAAATGATATTTTTTTTCTTGTAATTGATAAGGCAATATTCTCAATTATATAACTTGTTTTTCTGAGTATATTTATATAAATTTTTCTTTACATACTTCACATGCTATGCGAAAATATGTGAACATACCATAATAGTATTTAGAAATATACTTATTGTGCTTAGTATTTTCAAAGTTTTCATTGAAAATTGTTAATATTTTTAAGTATTTTGAAATTTTCAAAATGTGGGACTTAAATTGTAGTAATTATTTTGGAAAATTGTATGTTATTGTAATTTTTATGCGATTTGTACGGGAATTATAATTATAATATTTTTAAGAGTGCGTTTGAAACATACGAAAATTTAAATTTTTAATTTAAATTACTTGTCAATAGTATTTTAACAAATACTATTGATTATATGAAAATTCAAATTTCATTTCGGTGTGAAGTTTTCCATTTAAATTTTCATACCAATATCAATTCCAATTTACATAACTTTATAATTTATGCTTAGCTTTAAATATTTTTATTTAACAAATTAACGCTTGTCAATCAAAAAGTATAAAAATTTTCCTGAATGACGGCGGTATAGCCTAAAGGTATCAGGGTTAACTCCTGTTTTGGTTATTACAAAAGATATACATACATATATGAAATTGTATAGTTTAATATCGAATTTTTAATATAAAGCAAGTTTAGCCAATACGTATTTGTCAGTATTTATACCATAATTAATGTTTGAACGACAAATTTTGCATCAATGACATACATACGTGTCTTCCCAATTACCTACAAGTTTTGTTGGTAACGAAAGTGAGACATATGAATGTCAACCATTGATCTAAAACTTGTTATTTAAACACATTCATTTCCAGAATGTTTCACAAGTATCAATAACTTTAAACAAACTCTAAGTTTACGAAGTATGTTAGTTTTATAAATAATGTAAGCTATTACAAACATCTGAGCTTAAACTATCAGAAAGGTTGACATTTTTTGAAAATTATATTTCTATATGAGGTTAGTCACCCGCACTGACTTACGCATCGCTTTTTGAAGGTGCAAGAGGAAGAAAAAAGAAATATAAATTGCAATTTAAAAAATTTAATCAATGTTAGTTCAAATTTATAAAATAAAAATATTTGCGTGTCGTCTCTGTATTTAGCAATTTAATAATATTAATTACTTACACTTTTAATGTGTATAAATCTACATTAACGCACGCACATTATATGTACACGCTTTTCAACTATAAATAATTCAATCAAATTTCTTACACTATCCATTTTAAAAACGCGAAACTTGTATTCTTAGATTCAAATAATGGTTATGATGATGTTCATTAATTATGAAGTTAACAAGATTTTAAGTACAAATTTCAATACATTTAAAAGTGCTTTTCTTTCTAAATCTGTAGAGGAAATTGGTTCAATTATTTTTAAGTATCCGTTGTGTTACAATGAAAATTTGTTAATGAGTTCCTATCGCATTTTTTCATACAAAATTTTTTTGAAAAAGGACCTGATTAAACCAATAAAGTTTGCTTTCTCGATCATCTGTACGTCCGGCCTAAACATAAAACATGTGTTTTTTGCATACAGCAATCAAACAGTTTTTTACAAATACATAAGCAATCAAACAGTTGCAAAACTAAAAATTGTATGTCTGCCTGTGCCCTAAACCTTGTCCTAGCCAGTCGGAGTCGTTTATGGGCTTTTTTTACAAAATTAGTTTTTTACGAAATTGTACTTTTATAAAATACTTATACTTTATTAAAAATACCTGCAACAATTTAATTTGCTATTTTTTTTTCTTATTTTTTTGTCGTCGTCTTCCTTTCCTCTTTCTTTTATTTTTTTTATCCAATTAATCAATTGAAGAATAACATTAATCATCTGTTTATACATGCGTTTGTATGAATGTACAATATTTTGTATGAATGTAGATTGACTTATATGCATATTCAAGCATACATATTTAGTAACGTAAACTACATCTGCTACTGTAATAAAACTTGATTCTCCATTTTTCTTATGTTGCTTGTTTTTAATGAAGCTAAATATAAGAAAAATTACATATCAAAAATCACATCAAGTATGCATTTTTTTATGTACATAGGGTATGTATAATTTTTTTAGAGTTTCAGTTTATTTGTTGCAACAACGTTTAATTGTATATATCGCACATGTATATTAACGTTGGTTTATCGATATATCTATAGATATATCTCTTGTTTGCATAAGGCTATAAGTATCTAAATCAAATGATCTTGTTATTGTGTGTATACATATATGTATATGATCTTCGGGGAAAAAATTTCAGATCAGAACGCAAAAGCGACCGAACAATTTAAAGCATTAACGATTTTTATGACTATTTAAAACTTTGTTTTATTTGATTTTGTCTTCATAAATTTAAAAATATTACATTTATGTACGTTTATTGTTATACATGCATGTACGAGTACATATGCATAAGAATATGCAGAATGTTTTATACCGACTTGTAGCGTAATCTTCTTATATATTAATTTCATTCTGAAAATGTTTGAATGCACATATGTACATACATATGTGTATGAGTATATAGATTTAAAACACAACAAGCTGTGCTCTTCTTTGATCTTCTCAACGAAACCCTTTAAGGCAATTCTTAGGAAAATTGAAATTTGGCGTTGTTTTCTTTTCAAATTTTATTTTGTTATTTTTTATATATATTTAATTTTACAGTTAAAATTATGTACAAAAGAACTTATAAACATAAAAATTTAAAAAACATCTGAAATCCGGATTTAGAAAATGATTGGAAATGAAAATATTGTTTTTTTTTTTTTAATTTATTTTTATTTTTTAAAATAACCCTTTTCAACAGTAGGTACTATAAAATATTTCCATGATCTTTGTTAGAAATCATAATGCATATTTATGAATAGTATGTGTGTATATAGAATTATAAAGTATATGAATTTTAATTTTTTACCAATCGCATTGCACTCAATAAGGCAGATTATGTCATGGCTCCGAATTTCACATATCGAATCTTTGGTGGAAACGCATTCCAGTATGATAGTGAATCGCAAGTAAACTATTTTTTAAAAAGAAGTCGGTCTGTAATAGTGATATAATTTTTGGATACATATAATGAAATCCTGAAGCAGGGCGTGTAGTATTTTTATTCTCCTTCCATTCATATACAGTAATTTTGATTATTATAGATATTATTGACGTAAAATTCAGAAATTTTTGTGACCATGTTCAAGTTTTAATCCGTTCAAGATGAGTTGCTGAACTAGACTACACTGTCTCAAAGAGTTGGCGTCGTACGGTAATTTGTTTGAAAGTAAGAGCTTTAACTTTTGTAATATATTTTTTATTCCTCACTTATTACTTCTTCATTATGGTGTACAACAAAAATATGATCTTATATTGTTTTGTATTCTGATTCAGTGTGTTTGCCTAAAAGTTTGTTTTAATTTTCAATATTTCTAATTTAATAAGTTGACGCATCTAAAAATAGATTGCATATATTGCAGACTATATAGAACAAAAATATTGTAAACAAAAACATATTATATGTATGTATGTACGTGATATATGTATATGTGTGTATAGAAAAAAATAAAAAAAAGTAATAAAATGAATTCAAATCAAAAACTAAAATAAAAAAATAACTAAAATATGTCAAAAAAAATTAATTATTAAAATAAAAACAAAATATAAACTTAGACCAAGAGTGTATTTTTAAAATTCAAAATAAAAGACTTATGAATGAAAAAAAGAGTTAAATTGAAAAATAAATTTACTCAATAAAATGAAAAATTGTTATACATAGAATTTTGCATAAAAATACTTATTTATGTACACTGTATTCAATAAAATATAATATCACAAAATAACACTGTTATAACATTGCTATATCAGTATAATATAAAAATATATTATTATATTGCATATGACATGCATATTGATATAGTACCTACATGAGTATTTTAAAGTGTATAAAAGTTTTTATATAATTTACACTGGCATATAAAAATTACATTTTTATTCTAAGTCAAATTTATTTACATAACGTAATAACAATAAACGAACGTGTAATACTCTCTGTATATAAACAAATGCAATAGAAAAATTGAGTTTTCAAATATGAGTGAAAATAAAAAATCAAATAATATTTTTTCCATATTACCTACATATGTATATAAATTCATTTAAAAAAAAATGAGTACTTTTTTTTTCATTTTGAAAATGAATTTTTTGTGTATATTTTAAAAAGAACAAATCCTTTTTTTCAGTTCTTTTTATATACAACGTACGTTCATATTATGTACAAATTTAAGTAAATAAGCTGGAAAGCATATAATATGAATGAGCTTTAAAATGCATTTGAGTTGAAAAAAAAAAATACAATAAAGAAAATATAAAATCAATAATGATAGAAATTTTTTGTTCATTTCAGTTTCTTCATTTAGTTTTTTTTTCGTTTCAAATTGTATTTTAGATGAGTTATAAAAATATAAGATTCTAGATTAGAAATAAAATTAAAAAAGAAGAATAAAAGAACGAGAACACAACATATAAGTAAATAGTTATTAAAAACAAAAATTTAATTTAATTTAATTACAAAAAATAAGAACAAAAAAAAAATTAATTAAAAATTTTAGTAATAAAAAAATTAAATTACAAATCTAAATAAAGAAATATTAATCTAGTAAGGAAAAATAAATACCAAACAAATTGTATAATAAAATTATTTATAAATTAAAATTACAATGAATTCAATAAACCCTAAACTAATGCTCTTAATAGCATTCTTAATTAACTTAATTTATAATAAAGTTAACGCTTCTAATATATGGGATAAATTAAGAGAAGAAACAGATCTAGGACAGGTAAGTTTTCTTTTGGAAATTTTCCTTTTTTTATTTTTACATAATAAAATTTTTAAAAGCAAAAATATTTTCGTCATATAAGAGAACTCTGATGATTCATTCAAAAATTATATGATTATAAATTTGAAAAAGTGTAAGAGTAGAAGAAGTAAAAAAAAAAGGATTTAAGTACTTGTATAAAACGAAGAGATCACAAGAGGATTTTTTTTTAGTTAATGAAATTTTTTTGTTGTTTGTAATACATATACACATACCAACATGTTCATGTATACGAGTATGTATATTGTATTTTTCGGTATATCATATTAAATTTTTGGTGTATATCCGGATGACCTTGTATAATCATTTTAAAATATTTAGTTTTTTATATTGAAAATTTATATTAAAAAAAAAAACATGACAATAAGAAAAATTTATCGTATTGAAAATTCTGATTAAATACTTTTTCAAAGAACTGTATAGCTTTTAAAGACATAAAATTACAAAATTATCGCGAAAAACCAGTGCTATCGCTTTTACATAATAAAAGGTAGTTGGAAATTGTAATAAGCTTTAATAGATAACTTAAAAAAAAAGAAAAGACTACATTGGAAAAATTGTTTGAAGTTAAAGATTTTATTGAAGAATAAATAAAATATTAAATTTTTTGTTTAATAAATCAAAAATATTTTGGTAAGTTTGAAATCAATAAGAGTACAGCGCTTCATTTAAAGGCGTATTATATAGCGTGATATACCACCGTATATAGAGCCGTATACCACCGGGTAGAGGGTCGAAAATGAGTAAAATTTTTGTTCGAAACATAGTGTTGAATCTGAACCGTTTCTGAGCTACAGAGCTTTTAATTGGCGAAATTTTAGAGGTTTCAAAGAAAGAACAGAGGAATATTTGGTTTTGCATTTTTTTTCGGAAATACAAGTATTCGAACTATAGGAAAATCTCAATTTTCCTCATATTTTATTTTTTTACTTTTTTTGTCACGACAAATTCCAATGAACTTTTTTGAAACTTTCAAAATTCCCTTTATAGAATTTTGCTCAGCTATTTCCAGAATTTTTATTTCTTGTAATGATAATAACATTTTTGTAAGATAAGTTCAGTGCTTTGTCTGAACTTATTCGTAAATGAAGAACTTCTATAAATACTTACATATGTTTAATAATTACTTAAAATTATGAGCGTTGGTTATTTAGTGTTAAAGAGTATAGGAATTTAAATTAATTTAATTATTCCTATAAATCTAAAATTTTAATTTCAGAATAAAATCTTAACTTTAATAGTTTTTTTTTTTGATAAAATATGTTATTCATCATTCATATAATATGTAAACTATAAGTATTTTACATATTTGTCAGGTAAATCGCAAACTAATATTCTTCTAAATTATTTTTATAGCAGGTAGGTATAATAAAATATGTTTGAAATTTTTAATTGCACTCGTACTTTTTTCGAATTCCTTTAAGACTTAATGAAATTCCATGAAACATACAATCAAGTTTTGAGTATTAAAAATAGTTTAGCATAATTAGAGAGTTAATATTCTAAATAAAATTATTTTATAGGTTGAATAATTAGAAAACAATTATCACGCATACAACTTAAGTAATACTTATAATTTTATAATATGCTATAATAATGCAATAGAATTGAAGGAGTGGAAATAAAAATACAATTATATTAACTTTCTATACATGAAAATTTTTTTTGCAAAACAAGTATGTAGGGAAAATTTATAACATGCTTTCTCCTCCTTCGGGGATTTAAGTAATTTTTAATCATCATAAAAATTCAATTAGAATAATTTTTTATTTGTAAAGCCTTTCGTTTGACCTATAGAAAAAAGAACATGTAATAAAAAAATGGGGTCAAATTTTAAAATAAATTTAAATTTTATAGAAGATTAATAAATAAGGTTTAAACACGCAACCTCATTCTACCTGTTTAGTTCTTGGTTAAAAGTGAATTAAACAATATTTTTATTTTTTGCTTTTCTGCGCTTTTTCAATGAATTTTTAATTTTAGTGTAATAAAAGTTTTTTAAATCAAACTTTAAAATTCTTTTGAAAAATTTAGAAACTTCTCAATACTGAAAAATGGGTCGAAATTGTAACTATTATAAATTAAATGGAGTCGAAAGTCTCAGCTCTGCTGCATGTGTGTACCAATTCTTGATTTTGCGCTTGAAAAGTGCTTTGGAAATTTTTTAAATTTAGATAATAATTTTATTTTTTACTGCCACTACTTCTTTGCCTTGACTCAAATACTTTTGATTTAATTTTGTTCGCGATTTTATTAAACTCGGTTATGTCAAAATATTAAAGTTTCTATTCTAAAATTTCTTTATTGTAAAAACGAAAAAATTTTCTAAAATATCTGCATAAAAAAAAAGCAAATTTATATGTTCACTTATTTCTTATCGTATTTTGCAAATGCATTCATAGTTTAATGAAAATGACGAAGATGAAAAATTTAGTAATTTCAAAATGATGTTTTTCAGTTACTGAACTTTCAAATAAAAAGAATAAAAAGGGAATAAAAAATGGTCAGACATTAGTCTTTATGTCATATAATTTAATTATTGTTAAACAAGATTGAGAAGAAAAGATACGGAAAATAAAAATTTAATTCATAAATTTTCATTATTTGTTTAACATTTCCTAGTAACTAAGAATAGGAAAAGTTAAGAAATATTTAAATTAATATTTAATTTATTATTCGATGGAGCAAATAAAAACGAAAGAAATTGTTCAAAATTTCAACATCGCTTTTACCTTAAATGGTTATTTGTAGAAATCTAAAATTTTAGCAGCAAATTAAATTCTATCTTCTTTAGTTAAATTTTAGGAACTTGATCCTTTTAAAATATTATTAAATTGCAACAGAAATAAATTGTATGATATAGCAAATGTCTTCTCGTATAAGAACAATATTTTTGTTCAACAATATTCTCCTAAAATTATGTAATAAGATCAAACTTTTTAAATATCATATTAAGAGAATAACGTAGATAAAACGTAACTCATTTTTTTATAAAAATAAACATTAGGGGTCAGTATTTAGAGATCGATCACTAAGAGATCGAAAAAGTTTCAAAAATTTTATTACAGACACGAATCGTTTGTATTGATTTTTCATGATAAATTTCACTATCATTTAGTGACATCGTTAAAAATAAGAGTAAATCGTAAAAAATAAAAGTAATAAGAGTAATAAGAGCTGAATCAAGATATAAAACTTAAGAGTTCATTTTCTCCATTTTGATATAAAAACATTATTGTTGACAAAAGAACAAGAAGTTTACTAAATTTTCACGATAAATAAATTCAGAATTACATATTTCATAATTTAATCCGTTTTAAATGTACATATTATGTATGGTAAAAAAAATGTTCTAATTAGGATAATTCGATTTAATCGTTTACCTATACGAATTTAGCTATAACTTTCATGTCACTTATCATAAATTTTTCTATATTTGTCATATTCATTTTGATATTTTCAGTGTTAGTTAGTCATATAATTACTCAAACTTTCACTCGAATGAAATAAATAATAATGTCAACCTACAAAAACGTGTTCAATTTAACAAGGGATCAAAGTTTAGTGGGAAATAAAAAACTTTTCAATTATCAAACTATAAATAACAGTTATAATAATCATTCAATTTTTCAATTATTTTACGAATCAAATAATTTTTTTGATTACATTTAAAACACCTACATAACATGCACTCCTTTAACATATAGAATGTCTCTATATGTACGTGTATATATTTTATGTATGTTGTACCCTAAATATAACATTTTCTATTGTTTGATTTATTTTTGTTATATGAAAATCCTTTTTATTAATTTAATTATTATGTAACAATTACAATCACCTTTTTGCATTTATTATTATTTTATGCCACAAAAAAAAAACGTGACGCCAACTGTATTTGCATAATGTATAACTATACATGTAATATATTTTTATAATTAAAGTATAAAGCTTCATGTATAGCATGTAAAGTCAATTAAAGTGCATTTTATAATTATAAATTGTTAGCATGATTTGACCTACTTTAAATAATATTATTGTTATGCCATTATACTTAAAGTTTTAAATACCCTTAAAAAAAATTAATCAATATTTTCATAATATTATTATATATATATACATGTTTTCTGCCTATGTTTGTATATATCTGTATGCAGAAATTGTTATATCCTTCTTATTTGAAAAGTATTACACCAATTTTAATATTATACAAAATGGTTATATATAGAAGAAAATATATTATAAATGAACAATAAATATAAAATATGTATGTAATACAAAATATGTATATGTATATACATACATATGTATAGTTGCATGCATATTTACTGTCTGATTAAATTTTCCTTTAGTACAAAAAATGTCTGTACAAAATATTGATGAATTTATAATAAAGAAAATAAGTTTATATTAAAAATAAATTTTATATTATTTATATGTAGATTATTTGAAATTTTTTATAATAAATAAAGCTATTAACCTTATTAGGAAGAAAATAAACAAAATATATTCATGATTTACATGTAGAAAAGTTGGTCAGGATAGCTGTAGAATATTAAAGAATTATGAGAACAGAATAAATTGTAACTGGATTATATTTAAATTTGAAATATAAGGACTTAGATTTATGTGGTTGCAGTGATTTGCCGTGGGGGAGAAACTAATTTTGCCAAACTTATATATATGTGTTATTTCACTGAACAAAATTACTCCATTAATTAAACCCTAAATCGTTTCAGCGTTTGATGACCTCTTTTAAACCCTATTTTAGTAACATAATTAAGGAGGATTTCAATTGTAATAAATTGTAGATCCTTCCTCTGGCATCATGTCTGTCAGGTAATATGTGTTCCTTATTCAAAAAGTTATTTGCAAATTTCTTATATTTCAATTGCATTTCGAATTCAGAAAGTAACCCAATAAATTAGAAAAACTCTATGAAAATGCACTTTGTTTATTGT